TTGAGTTTTCGTGCTATATTTTTCTATACAATGTTCTTATATCCAAAGATATTGTTGCCTTAGCATAGGAACAGCCACAAATAGTCATTAAGACTTATCCAAAGTAGCGTCCGTTATTGACCAACATTTTTGCGGACCGAAGTACTACTCAAGCACTGAGTTGGCGGTGGCGGGATTTGACCTCTTATCGTTCAACAGTCCGGGTTTTAACTTTTCCTTTGACACTTTAACCATCTGAGCTATCCCGCCACATATATATATATATATATATATATATATATATATATATATATATATATATATATATATATATATATATATATAAATATAAATATATATATATATATATATATATATATATATATATATATATATATATATATATATATATATATATACGAGTAAATTCTGTTTTATAACAGTTCATTGCTCCATAAGTTTTAAATTTTTATTATTTTATATAATCCTAAAGAGATTACACCTTAAGAAGTTTATTTTTTTTAGATTAAGTAATTTTATTGTCATTTCTTTAAATTAAATATGCATCTTGTAATCTTATAAAAAAAACGATTAGATACTTTCTTTGGCATACTTTCTAAATATGATGATTCAGCAGAAAAATAGCTAGTTATATAAAGTATGATGATTCAGCAAAAAAAGTTATATTAAGGCAGAAGATTCAGAGACGATGAAAGAAAAAGCTAAAGAACTGCTTTAAAAAATTATTGTTAAAAAGTAAAAAATAAAACTAAAAAAAAATGAGAGAGAGTAACTTTAAATATATATATATATATATATATATATATATATATATATATATATATATATATATATATATATATATATATATATATATATATATATATATATATTATATATTATATATTATATATTATATATATATTGATAAACAACTATAGGAATTTATTGTATTTTTAAGTTGGGTTCAGATATATTGCTGTTTGTGACACCAACAACACCAATTTGGTGTTATCATTCTTTATATAAAAATGCTATGTTGTAATTATAATATTGGCAAATGCTTTTGTTTTTTGAATTGATTTTTTTCAGATTTCATGTATTTGTTAGCAAGATTTAATAAAATGAAGATTTTTAAATTTACTTTTAGCAAAATGGGGCATTAAGATGTCTAAATATCTCTTTATATAATTTAATATTGTATATTATAATATAAAATTTTATTGTAAGTTGTGTTATTTTACAATATATTTGTTACAATATAAATATAAAATTTTTAAATGTGTAATTTATTTTAATAATGATAATTTGTAAAAATAAATTTTTTTTATGACAAATTTGTAAGTAATGTGTAAATAGATAATGTGGAAAGCAATAAAAAAGTTTAATTACTTTAACTACTTTCTTCAATATTTTGAAATGAGAAAGTAAATACCTTTCAAAAAAAAATTTACACGTAAAGCAATAAATAAAACCTTCACCTTTTGAGTATGATATCCAATATCTAGTTTCAGATTGACCTTTTTTAATTTTTTTTTCGAAAACTCTGGTTTAGTCTTTGTATGTCTTACTATAATTATTATTCTTATTACAGTTTTAAAAAAACGAATTTTCTTTTTTAAATCGATGCTGTATAAACTTTTAATTAGTATAGCGAGTCACATCTCTGTACTTATCATCGAACTTATTAAGTTCATATTGTTGCTGAATCTCATTAAAACTTAGCCGTACGTTGTTATTGGCATCTTTGTTTTTTTTTTTTTTTTTTTGAAAATCCTGATGAACGGAGCAGCATTCGACTTGAATATCTTGAAAATTTGTATCATTTGATGTTTTGAAGATGGTCAAAAACATTTTGAAAAAAATGTTTGAAAATGTTTTACGATATAAAAAAGCTAGTGAAGTAACTTTTTAGCAAATTTTGATAAAAGTATTGAAATCGATTGCAAATAGTGGTTAATGACGTCGTTACTGATAGTAGTACAAGACAATCGGTTACAGAGAGTGGTTATAGGCAATGGGGAATTCAATTGTAGCAATACTATAATAGCTTTTGAAATATGTGAAACTTTTTCTACTAGATCGTAGAAGAATTACTTGTAAGAAATTATTGACGGAACCACTGACATCGGGTGCAATCATCAACGCCAGAAATCCAAAACGAAATTACATAGTCAATAGCATGATCGAAATAGGCCTAGTACAAGTGTAATCCACGAGGTCAGAAAAGACAAAGTCAAGAAATGCTGAATCTAAGAAAGCTACTAGGAGCAGTACTTTTGTGACACACACACACACAACTTAAAAAGTTACAAAAAAAGAAATTAAAAGGAAAAATAGCGGAGTATCTTACAAATTAATCTCAATAAATAATGCCTATTGTCACTACCATTATATCAATAAATAATGCCCATTGTCATTGTCATTACTCTAAAAAACTGAAAAGAACCAATAAAAAACGAAATTTGCTCAGAATGCTAAAATCTCACCGCCTTAATTACTTTAAATATCGCTAACGTAGTTGTTTCTTGTGCGCTAAAAGATATGTCTATTGTTAATTATCAGTACAAATATAAACTTACAGCTGCAAAAAGCTGTTAAGGTGTGCCCATCACTAATAACACTCATCCCCCTGTAAACACCCATAACCAATAAGACAAAGGTGAAAACATCTTGAACTTGAAAATAAATCAAAAACTTCTTGATTGTGCGCTTTTACGAATTATGAAAAAGAAAATATGATTGAAGATCCGCAGTACTAGAAAACACCAGTTGAAAACAAGTCACACTACTGGATATATTTTACAATATCTCAAAATTCAATTTAAAACTGGTGAAAATGTTTTAAAAAAAGATATTGTACTCTATTGTACTTCTATTATAAATGTTTGTAAATGAAGTGCGTTTCTTCAGAAGTACGCAATGATATTGATGAAGAACATAGATCTCTAAAGATTGTCATTAATATTTTTACTCATCGTTTTAAATTTCTAGTAAAGAAACAAAGTACTCTGGGTTCCACAGATCATATTAGGCACATTTTAAAATGTAGGGAATACATAATATTGAGACGCAAGTATATCAGTACTATTATTTTCAGCATGTTAAAATTAGGTTAGCATTTAAAAAAATTTTTTTGATGTTATTTAGGTACCCAACAAGTCCTTACGGTCTTTTCACAGAGCACTGCGGATGAACATTTAATTGGAAGTTTACGCCTCTTTCTAAGCGATGTAGCAAAACTTGACTAGACGTGGGGTTTGAACCACGGTTCTTTTGTTTCTGAGGCAAGTGCGCTACCACTGCGCCACGGCTGCTCATTTAGTTGCTAAATACTATTTTTTGGGAGGTAACCTGATATATTCTACAAATACAAAAATAGACACGTTTTGCTTCGATTAAAACTACATGTACAGAATTTATTTGCCACGTAGATTTCACTTGGATAGAAATTTTACCTCTTTCCAAGTGAAAGAATCTTTATGATCATATTGCAATACTATTACCTTTTAGAAATCTTTAAAAAATGTTTTTTAAAAGAAAGTATAATGCTGAAACTTATATTTTCCTAAGAAATAAAGTTTTTTTTATCTAGTAACTAAAATTTGCGTTTTTCTGTTTCGTGCGTGATTCCCTTAATTTATTCTTTAAACTTAATTTATTATTTGATAACATCATTTATGTATGCTATTCTTTGTTTACAAAAGACATAAAAATTGGAATTAAATGACAATAATTTTTTTTTTTTTTACATTCCCAAATTTTTGTTTAACAATGCCAAAATTGTTAGAAAACAAACTTCTATAAACTTTGCATTCATTAATACATAAATAATTATTTTTACAGTTGGTGACAACTTACCCCACACCAAGGTTAGTTAGTGCAGTTTTTTTTTTTGGAGGCCCCGGTTGAGTTTAAATTTTTTTTTTATTTAACTCAATGCATCTCGAACATGTTACACAAATTTATTTTTCAAGACTACATTTGAATATTTACAGAAAATGTGAACCAATCTCTATCCTATTCCTAATACTCATTTTATATTTCCCCTAATTATACTTCTCCCTAATACCTATTTTATATTTCCCCAAAGAAACTCACAAAAAGATTCCGGTAATTTATAATAAAGTTAAATAACTTATATTTAACAAAAATCACATTTCATATTTACAATAAGATTTACATTGCATAATAAATTACTCAAACACAAACACAATTCATAAATTTCACTGGTTTTACAAACAGTCTCAATTCATAAATTTCACTGGTTTTACAAATAACCAAAATCCCTACAAACTATAAAAACATTTTTTAGTGTTAACAAAGAATGTAAAGATGAATATAAAATGTGTGAATGAAAAGTAAATGATGTGTTAAGTGATATTTTTATAAGAATATGTAAAAATAATGAAATGTATGAAATAAGAGATATAAACATGTATTACTCTAAGAATAAAAAGAAAATTTAAATGAAAAAGTATAAAAATAATCAAATTAAAAAATAAATATAAATACAAATCCACGTTAGAGTTTATATATATATATATATATATATATATATATATATATATATATATATATATATATATATATATATATATATATATATATATATATATATATATATACATGCATACAACTAAAAAGATTTTAAAGTTTAAAAAGGAAGAAATCTGATGCCTCAATATATATATATATATATATATATATATATATATATATATATATATATATATATATATATATATATATATATATATATATATATATATATATATATATATATATATATATATATATATATGTATATATATATATATATATATATGTATATATATATATATATATATATATATATATATATGTATATATATATATATATATATATATATATATAATGCATCCTTAATATCCTTTTAATTCACAATTTTAAAAATCATTACACCCTACTATATACAAATACTTATTTATACTGCATACATAAATACACACACACATGCAGATATGTATATATATATATATATATATATATATATATATATATATATATATATATATATATATATATATATATATATATATATATATATATATATTTTTTTTTTACTCTGATGTAAAGAAAGTTGATAAAAGAGCAGCATCAACAGGTTCCATGCAAGAAGGGCAAGTAAATGATCGAAGTAACCAATTATCTATACACTGTTTATGATAAGTGTGTAAACAAGGAAGAAATCGCATTGGATCTCCAATATCAAAATCACACATGCAAATAACACACCTATATATCAAATTAAAAATTTTATCACAGATATTTGACTTGTATAACTTATATTGATTATTTTTGTTTGTGATTAAATTTACTAGGTAAAATGTTTATACCTATCTAAAGTAAACAAAAAAATTATCAAAATACATAATTGAAAGTTTTATTAAGTATAGAAATTATAACCATAAAATTATAACAGGGGTTGAAATAGGTGGCGGACATTGTCCCCCCCCCCCTAGCCCTTCTTTAAAACTTATTTGAGCAAACAACTTTTATTAATATTTATTTTTTTCCAACTTTTATTTTGTGACAAAATGAACAGTGGTTAGTTGCCCCTAATGAATTAAAGTGGTTAGTACTTAATCTAATAAATTAAATTTTAATATTATAAACTATTTATATTTCTTTACTAATTGGTTATTATTACAACAAAATTAAAGGTAAAGTTATATCAAATGAAAATATAAAAAAAAAGCTGTTAGAATGATAACCTAACTAAATAGACTTCTAGTCTATTAGTAGTAAATCTAATAAATATATACAAATAATAAACAGCACTAATAAATATATAAATTATATAAAATTAGTGTAGCACCGTGTTCAACTTATTCAGCTCAACTTTTCCATGCAGCGGTTTTGTTTATCAAGGTTCATGTTTTGGAGTTACAGAGTTATGAGGTTGTAAACATAACTAAAGTAGCCTCCTTGACTATATAGCAAATGCTAACTAGTTTTGCTTACCTTTATAGCATACAGCTTTTTTAAAAAAAGCAAAAAAAAATGAAGAATAATGAAAGAAAAGATAGCTGCTCCATTCCAAAACTCTCAGTTGATGTAGCAACACTCATTTGTGGCAGCAGGCTGTATATTAATCAAGGTATGTAGTGAAGTAAACTATTTCAGTGTGACATCACAGTGCTTATTTGACAAATGATAGTCATAATATTTGATGCTCTTTTAACTAGAAAAAACCAACCATAAGCAACTACTTAAAATTTTCCAGAAAAGTTAAATATTATCATGGAAAAGTTCATTCTAGTATTTAATTTATTTCAAAACCTCACATAGCAGGACGATTACAACTTTTACTTTTAAACACTTCATCTTTCTGCTGACAAGTGTGCTTCTTATGTAACTTCTTGGATTTAGTCTGGCATAGAATCTTTTATTCTCTCTTGAGAATTCCAAGTCAAGCCTTGCTCTTCTCCGTGGTTTTCCTCTCATTGTACTGCTGCAATTTCCAATTGTAGCCATTACTTCTATACAGAAAATAGATGCCTGTTTCTTATTGCTAGAAAAATGTGTAAAAAGGTTTTGTGAATGAAACGCCAAAGCCCACTATTCTCAGGTCACAAAATCTCTATATTCATCTCAAAAATTAGGCTACAGAGTCTTCTGGAAAATCTCTAATAGTCTAAAATAAGGGAAAATCTTTTATTCCTCCTCTTTTGCATGGTTCAGATTTTTTACCTCACCTAAACACAAAGCTTAATTGTTTGCTAAAAACTTTTCATCAATCACATTTCTTAGTCCCACTAATCACAACCTACCTGATAGGCTGACAAATAGGCTGATCCGTTGTTTGACATTTATATCACTCTTCTTCTTTGACATTTATATCACTCTTCATTCTGTATCTAAAGTGATTTCCTGCTTAGACTCTTCTACAGCTATACACACAACATACCTGTTATACTTTTGCAAAAGTATCCTCCGGAGCTGTCACTATACTTTCAAAACTATTTAACAAATGCTTATCAGTCTTGTTTTCCAGCTTGCTAGAAAGCAGCATCTGTTATCCCTACTTTCAAAAACTCTGAAGAGCAATCTGACTAGTCTAACAACTTAGGGCTTATTGATAGTAATGAGGCAATTGCTTGGACTATTGAATAGTGTACTGAGTACTATCAATGCTTTGAGTCAAGTTCTTTAAAAAATTTACAATAACTAAAATACCAAAAACTATAAAACACAAAAAGCCATTGTCATCACCGAGTTCTCTAAACCTATTATTCACTAATTTTCTTGGTCTTCGAAGTAACATTACTTCTGTTGAGTCTTAAATCTTGCAAAGATATAAGACTCAACACTAGACCTAATTGCTCTTTGTGAGACTAATTTGAGTTCAGCTGTCTCATCTTGTGATCTTAGTATTAATGGTTATCTTCCTTTAATTTGTAAAGACTCCGATAGTCACATGCTTGGCCTGGGCATTTACATTCGTAAGAATTCACCCATTTCTCGGGAAACTAGGCTTGAATCCACAGACTAAGCTTTATGTGCTTTCATTTAGCACCATTTCACTCTATCACCTTTCTCTTTGCTCTATATTGCTATTATTCATTTCAAGACTGCACTCTTTTCGATGTTGTTTCTGATAAATTGACTGAGCCCTCTTTATTTATTTATCAGCTAATACCATTATTGATGGTGACTTTAATGACGGTCACACTGAATGGCTTGGCTCTAGTGTCAGTGACTCTGCTAGCATTAAAGCCCTCAACTTTTGCCAATCTCTAACTCAAATAGTCAACTTTCCAACTCGCTTTATAGACAACCTTAATCATTTACCTTCTCTACATGACCTACATCTCGTTTCTGATCCTAGTCAGTGCTCAGTGCTTTTGATCACGATTTGATCTCTCTAAAACTATTATATCATTCTTTTTCATCATCAGAATCCCCCTATCATCGTACCTCTTACAACTACCTAAAAGCTGACTGGGACTTTTTCTGTGATTATCTTTGTGATAGCCCTTTCGTCTTCCTGCTGAAAAATCTTTCGTCTTCCTGCTGATAAATGTGCTCTTTATATAATTTTGTGGATTCAGGCTAGCATGGAATCTTTCATTCTCTCTTGACAATTCCAAGTCAAGCCTCACTCTTCTACATGGTTTTCCTCACATTGCGCTGCTGCAATTTCCAATCAAAACCGTTACTTCCATATCTATCAGCAAAACAATACTCCAGAAAACAGACGTCTGTTTACTATTGCTAGAAACCATTGTAAAAAAGTTTTGTCTAACGTCAAAGCTTGCTAATCTCAGATCATAAAATCTTGTATTTCATAACAAAAATTAGGCTTTAGATCTTCTCATTCTACAGCTGATTTGCAAACAATAATAACCAATACGTTTTATAGTGCATTAGATAGTTGTAGAGATGTTAAGACTATTGCTCTCAACAATTCTAAAAATTTTGATAACATTTGGCTGGTCTTCTTTATAAGCTTTCTTCTTACGGTGTATCTGGTAACGCCTTTAAGATTATTGAGTCCTTTCTTTTTAACCCTAGTATAAAAGTTGTCCTTGATGGACAACACTCTTCTTCATATCCTGTAACTTTAGGAGTTCCTCAAGGTTAATTCCATGGTCCTATACTCTTTTTAATTTACATTAGCAATCTTCCAAATAATCTCACATCTAAGGTGGCATTGTTTATTGATGATACTACCATTTATTCTTGACATGATAAGAAGCCTATACTCCTAATTGCTTGAACAGGGCATTTCAGCTTGAAAAGGATCTCACTTCTACTGCAGCATGGAGCTTATAGTGGCTGGTGAACTTTAATTCAGATAAAACTCAATTTTTTTTCAGCCAATCATTATCGCAATAATTTAGATCTTTCTATATTTATGAATGGTAATGTACTTGATGAGTCACCTATCCTCCATCTTCTAGAAATAACTTTTACTTCGGATCTTTCTAGGAAACCATATATATCAAATCCCTTGCAAAATTAGCATCTGCCAAGATTGCACATTGTGCAATTGTATTGCAAGAGCACATTGTGCTCGCCACTTTTCTACTCCAGATTCTATTCTCTATAAATCTTAAATCTGTCTTTGTATGAAATACTGTTGCCATATCTAAAACAGATCTTCGAATGATAATCTACTCCAGATATGGACCCTTTCTCTCTTAAGCAAGGTGCAAAAAAACATAGTTAGACCTGCTCTTGCAGCCAACCATTGTCACATTGTTGTGATGTTGCTTTTCTATAAATACTATAATGGGTGCTGCTTTAAAAAGCTATCATCTCTTGCTATCTGCTAAAATTCATTCTCATGTTACTCGTCATTCAATTAAGCCTCATCCTTTTACTGTGAATGTTCCTAAATGTTCTAAAAATTCTTATTTGTCTAGTTTTTTCCTTGAACATCGGTTGACTGGAATTTGCTTCCTTCGTCTTGTTTTTCTGATTCATATAATTTGCAATCTTTTAAGTGGTCTGTTAATTGATATCTTGCTTTATAAACTTCGTTCAGTTTTTTTTCCAGTAACTTCCAATTTGATGTTGGTCTTGAACAAAGTCTTGATCTCAAGACACCTTAAGACTCATATTTAATGATTTGGTCTAAGTATTGGTCTTGAAGCCCAATGTCTTTGTCTTAGTCTTAGTCTTGAAAGCCTAGAGTATTGGTCTTGGTCTTGTCTTGGACCTTTATTGTCTTTTACTTTCTTGATTCTTACAAAAAACATCAACTCTATGAATGAATTAGTTATTAATAACAAACCATAGATTGCCACAATTTCCCGCTTTCAACGAGAGTTTGTTATTTTAGTTTGAATGGGTTCTAACTGAAATTTTTTATATTAGAAGAATTAAAAAAAAATCTTTTAACTTTTTTTAAATGTTTAACTAAAATTATTTATATCATTATTTTTTTACTTATTTATGTATTCTTTTTTTGATTGATATATAAAAATATGTAAATAAATAAAAATTAAGTATATAAATATTTTTCTTTAGACATTAAAAAAAAGAAAAAAAAATTTATTGGCCATTCTCCTAATATAAAAAAAAATCAGTTAGAACCTTGTCAAACCAATGCGACGAGTTGTATCTAGAAAGACATGTTGTTGTTTGTTTTTTTTAAACATCTTTGCCTCCAACAAGGCTGCAAGCAACCACTTATTAGTGTTGGGAGTTACTGGAAGAGAAAAGATAAAGATTGTAGAGCAAGATAGCGATTGACAAACGACTTAAAAGATTGCAAATTATATGAATCAGGAAAGCAAGATGAAGGAAGCGAATTTTAAAGAACTGATGATTGAGGAAAAAAACAAGACAAATAAATTGAGGAAAAAGACGAATAAGTACTCTTTTTCTTAACGCATACCTTTATTAAACTGTCAAAATGGCAAATGAATTTGTTTATTGTGAAAAATGAACGGTTTTGGTTATTGTGAAACTGAGCATTAACTAGGATCAAAAACTAGAATGTGAAGAAGCTGATCAAAAAGAGTGCAGTCTTGAGATGAAGGAGAGTGATATAGAACATAGTGAAAGGTGGTAGAGTGAAATGGAGCTAAAATGGAGCACATAAAAAAATAGTCTGTGGATTCAAACCTAGTTTCCAAACAAATGGATGAATTCTTATGAATATAAGTACCTAGGCCCAGCATGTGACTATTGAAGTCTTTACAAATTAAAGGAAGGTAACTGTCAACACTATCTAATTTGAGTTCAGCTGTCTCATCACAATATGAGACAGCTGAACTAAAATTTGTCTCACAAAGAGTATGTAGGTGTGGTAAACTTTGCAAGAGATAAGACTCAACAGAAGAAAATTTACTTCAAAGACCGCGAATATTAGTAATTGATAGATTTAGAGAACTTGGTTATGACAATGGCTTTTTGTATTTTATAGTTTTTGATACTTCAGTCATTTTTTAAATTGATTCAAAGCACAGATAGTACTCAATACACTATCTAATAGTCCAAGCAATTGCCTCATTTAAATTAATAAAACCTAAGCTGTAACAAAGGCTCCAAATGTACCCTCAACAATACACATCAAAAGTACGAACAGGAACACCATCCATGCGCAACATGGCACTATTAGTACTCTAATATTTTACATCTGTCGATAGAATCACTATCTCTGAGAGCTACAACAGAGTTTGGAAAACCTGACTAACAGTTGGCCTCAGAACCATAAAACTGAGTTCTAGAGCTGTACCAAAACAAAAGCCACGCAATGAATTAAGAAGATCCAGCATTCAACATTCTAAACTGGAAACATATATTATTAATACATCTACATCAGCCTAATAAGTAAAGAAAGGGTGCAAAGCTGTTCAACAGATAGATCCTGTTTACCCCTTACATGTGTGAGCATGAGTTTTATTGTGTTGGACTTCTTAGAAGTCTTGATCCCGGTCTTGTAAAAACTTTCAAAGTCTTGGTCTTGAGTTGATTTTTTGATATCTTGGTCTTGAAGCTGTAAGGTCTTGGTCTTGGCATTGAGCCCAAATGGTCTTAGTTTTGGTCTTTGGTCTATATATACATATGTATACATTCATTACATACATTAGGTTTGGTCTATATATACATATGTATACATTCAAAATTACATTTGCATTACTGTTTTAATTTGCTAAAACCTTTGTGTTTGAATCTATAACTTTTGTGTATTTAACTTAAGTTTGTTATTTTTAACTTTTTACTTTCAAATAAATTATAAAATATGTTAAAGTACATTCAAAAACTAGTTGAGTTCTTATTAAAAGTTTATAAACTAGTTGAGTTCTTATTAAAAGTTTATAAACTAGTTGAGTTTTTATTAAAAGTTTATAAGCTTAAAGAACTTTACAATTTAACTTTTGCATTGCATTTAACTTTGCAACATTTTGACTTTTTTCTTAATAATTTATGTTGATTGCTTTAATACCCATTTAAGGTCTAGCATTATTTTTTTTTAAAAGAAGCATACAAATCCTATAATGTGAAAAATTTTTAAAAGTTAACATTGCTTTAATGTAAAGATCAAAAACAAAACACTGAAAAATGACAAGTTCAGTAATTAATGACACATTTCTTTAACAAAACATTTAGGATAAGGCTTTAAATTTATGTCAATACTATAATGAATAATATAATATAATATATAATGACTGGTATTAACACTTGATAATTCTAAATTTATAAAGGAATAATCAGTAATTTTCAATTTTTTATTATAGGATTAGTGATGTTATGTGGTTTTTAGTTAGTAAAAGTATATATGGTTTAAACTTTTTTACATTAAATGTAACTCTATCAATTAAGTTTACTAGATCATTATTCACATGTAATTTTAATACTATTTATATATATGTAATAATTACCATTGAATGCTAGTTGTCATACTTCATTTTCTTGCAGATTTTTCATATTTTGTAGATTTTGTCATTTTATTTTATACTATAATAATCATTTAAACAGCAGCAATAATTTTGTTTATCTAAACAGTAGCAACATGGCTACATAGCAACAGTAGCAACATGGAGGATTCTTTAAGAAGATAATATTTACATGTTTTTCTCATTTGTACCGACTCCCAGCCAACTCTTAATGTATCATTTTTCTAATTTATAATGTATTTATATTTGTTTATTATTTTTCATGTTCATTTTTTAAAGATTTTAACTGAAGACTTATCATTATATTTATTTAGAGCAATTATATTATTTATATAGAGCAATTATATTATTTATTTAGAGCAATTATATTATTTATTTAGAGCAATTATATTATTTATTTAGAGCAATTATATTATTTGCACTAATTTTCATTGTATTAAGTAAACTTCAACTTCTTTTTTATTTCTTCATTGACTGAAAAATTTACATTTCATTTCTTTAAACTGCTTATCTTTTGATATATCATCATTACAACATATGATTACTTTAATGTTTTGGCTTCTCGTGAACTTCTACTCTTATTTCTTTAGATTAACATTATTAATTTTTTTGTATTGATTTTATCCTGATTATTAACTATTTTGCACTTATTTTATATTGATTGTTAATTATAAAAATTTTCTTTACTTTAAGCTCAGAAATAGGTCATCATTTGGAATTAACTAATACTAATCATTATTTCAAGGGCCTTAAAATAGATATTACCCATATATTAAAGCACTGTTTACAGGGACATAGGAAGGGAGCACAGGGGAGCACATGCTCCCCCTCCCTCCCTTGTCCTATTTATTATCCTTTTGTTATATTTATTATCCTTTCAAATGAATAACAAAAATCAGAGTTGATAACTTGATAAAAAAAAAACCATTAAAAAAATTGCAAAAGTTATTTTTAATTGTGTTTTTTCGATATAAAAGTTTTTTGTTTACAACTGTAAACTCAGCAAAACATCACTGAGCAAAAGGCCAATTGAAACAAAATATCTAAAAAAACAATATTTAATACAAAACAAAAAATGATAATTTTATTATTTTATGTGTTAATTATTTAAAAATTATATTTTCAGAAATGTCACAATCAACTAAAAGAAAAAAATCAGGTTCAGAATTCAAGCATGCCAAAGAGCAAAAGATTATGAAAGAATTATGAAAGAAGCAGCCAAATCACTTACAAAAATTACAAATTTCTTTGGAAAATTGAGATCTACTTTAAACACTTTTGACATAACACAACCAGCTGACAGTGTAACACAATACTGACAGTGATGATAATGTAGCACAAAAATCTGGCAGTGATGATGATACAGCTCAACAATCTGACAATGATGATGATGCAGCACAACAATCTGACAATGATGATAATGCAGCACAACAAGGTGATACTTGTGCTTATCTTTGTTATGATATTGGAATGTTAGACCTTGAAACACTGCCATTGTGACCCAACGACCTATGTCAACACTACAATCTTTATCAGGTGATGGAAAAAAGCAACGTTCCCTTAATAAACTATTTGATGAATATCCATACTATCTTAATTGTCACAGAAAATTTGAAATTATAAGAATTGTCAACCATAAAATACAAAACTAAAATTAATGTGATGTACAAGTTTTCTTTTTATTCGTAATCTTTAGTTTCTTAACTTAACTTGATTTATTTGTTTGTTTTTTTCATTTTTTCCAATATAAAATAATAACTTCTTCCTGTAAACAAACAACTAATAACTTCTTCATGTAAACAAACAACTAATAACTTCTTTGTGTAAAAAAACAACTAATAACTTCTATATGTAAACAAACATCAAATATAACAAAAAATGAAATTGATTTTTTTGGATTAAAAAATCAAATTAATTTTTATGCTTACAAAGCATAAAAAAAAGTTAAACTTTTGTAACAGTTAAAAAGTCTTGTTTTTATAAAAAATAATTTACTGACTATTATCATTTATAATCAGATAAATTACTTTACCATTGATATTTCAATTAAATATTAAAACTCTGATACTCCTAAAACTCGCTTATAACCTTTCTCCTTTTCAAATTTTCTCACTATGTATATATGTATATACCACACTATGCATATATCATTTTTGGATAATTTAACTCTATGAATTATTATCTATAATATATCATATTGTCATATGATACTATATTATGAAAAAACATATACCATATGAAAAAACTATTATTAATATAAAAAGATAATAATTAAAAAAACAAAAAAAGAAAAAAAAAGCAATTTAAAAAGTATGTCTTGATTAAAAACTGAATAAAACAATACTAGGATAGTTTTGCACAAAGATGATTAACTTTAAATAATTAAAAACTTACTCTTTTCTTTTTTTTGTTCCATCAAATGATCCAGATGGTAAATGCTGAATAAGACTTAGTCGATGAGCAATCCTTAATGATTGTTCCTCTGTAAAACTGATGGAAGAAGATTGATTAGATGGTGTCAAGTTAAAAATTGTAGATGGTTCCTCCTCATAATTCTTAAATAAACAAATTTACTAAATTAACTTCAAACTTGAATTTTTTTTATTAAGAATTAAAGTAATCTATTAATACCTGAACATAAGGAGGTGGAAGCTCCTGATGTAACTCTGTACTTGATACATCGTTTTCTCTTAAGAGAGAAATTCTGTCAACAGTTCTACTTTTCAAACAATTTCCCATTAACACAACATAAAAGTTCAATTTTTTTTTGCTTGCTGGCAATATCTTTATAACAATATTAAATATTTATTTATATTAAATAAATTATATCTATTTTAGAAACTTTATATTAAAATTATTTTATTAATAAAAAAATTGTAAAAAAAATCATTATATTTGGTTGTTATTACAATTAATAAAACCCTAGCAATTCTTAACATAGTAGTTAGTGGTCATTTCATTTTAAATTTTTTTTTTTTAATTTAATCATTTTTGCTTCCAACAAGGCTGCAAGCAACCACTAATTAGTGTTGGAAGTTACTGGAAGAGAAAAGATGAAGATTGTAGAGCAAGATAACGATTGACAAACGACTTAAAAGATTGCAAATTATATGAATCAGGAAAGCAAGATGAAGGAAGCGAATTATAAGCGTGATTATTTAGTACACAACGTTGGCCATTTCCAAAACAATAACTAATAAAACTTAAGAAAAATTTTGTATTAAGATTTTTAAATTTATTTATATTATTAATAATTTTTCATTATTTTATTAGCATCTACCTATTTTTGTTAGGCTGGATTTTAATTTCATTTTCAGGCCTAAAAATTTCTTTATATGAAACTCTATTGAATCAAAATTAAGTAATATAAAAACCAAAACAATTTATTCTAAAAATTTCAAGATATGCTTGCAAGAGTTCATAAAATTAAAAAAAAAAAAAATTCAACAACATTTTCTACGTTTCATTTTTGTTCATTTTATTTACTTTTCTACTAAAAATAAAAATATTTTTTATAAATTAAATTACCTTTATATTGACATAAACATTCCCTTATCTTAAATCAGTCTTTATCTTGGTCAGATTGTTAAATTATAAAAAATTATGCTTAAAAAAGTTATGTTTTTTGTAAGTTTATAAAATATTTTTATTAAAATCAGAGTTGAATAAATGTTGTAAGTAAACTGTAAGAGTTGAATAAATGTTGTAAGTAAACTGTAAGAGTTGAATAAATGGTAAACTGAAATTGAATCAGGTTTAAATACACTTGAAATTTGTTGAAAAATTTGTTTTATTTGACACAATCAAAATTCAAAATTATTTTGTATTTTGATTGCATCTAATTCATACATATAAATAAGAAGTAAAACTACTAACTTTTTTTTTTTTTTCAAACTTGTTGCTTCAGTCAGTATTTTTTGGCACCTGAAAAAACTAGAAAAGAAGTGGAAAAATATAAACTCAAAACTTAATTTTTTTAAAAAAAAACTAGCATTCTATTACTAATTAGCTTCAGATATAAACCAAGATAAATAATAGATAAGATAAGCTCAACAAAAAACAGTTGACGTTTGACAAAAAACATTCTTATGAACTTTACTCTTTTATACCTTTATAAAATATAGCGATTCTTATGAACTATAGCGATTCTTATGAACTATAGCGATTCTTATGAACTTTACTCTTTTATACCTTTTTGTATGGTTAAGCAAACACCTTCAGGTTTTATGCATCAATTAGTGTTATTCATTATTCACCTCCCCAATACCAAGAAGGGCACTACAGTCAAGGAGGCTACTTTTGTAGTTACAACCCACTCTCAACTCTATAACTTCAGAACTTCTCACTTATGAGGCAAGCGCTCTACCACTACACCACTACCGCATTTCATATGTTTTCACTTAAATATTATCCATATCCTGAGACCACTTTTGAGAACAAAATTTAAAGCAGGAACATTTTTTTTAAACGAAGCTTTTGGAGGTGAGGATTTCTTAGTACCAAAACACCTCCAATTTTTATAAAATTTTCGGTATATATTAAAAGGGGATGAGGAATTTAATGGAATGTGGACACTTTTTAATATTTCTACATAAATTTTCAAAACTTCAAGGTTTATTTTTATAGAAATTTTTTTTTTTTTTAAAAGTGTCCAGGTGGAAATAGCAAGTTTAGTCTTTCCTCTTTTTAAACAAGTATTTATTTATGTTTTCTTGAAGAATTGGTACTAAGGATTTGTATATAGAAATTATGTATATATATATATATATATATATATATATATATATATATATATATATATATATATATATATATATATATATATATTTATATATATATATATTTATATTCCTTCGCGTATTTTATGACGTTTTTTGTTTTGATGTTGCGTTTTTGAAATTTTAACTTTAAATAAGGTTGAAAGTGAAAGTATAGTTCTTTATTAAAGACTTCAGTTTTCAAGGCAATAAAAATAAAGATTTTACATTTTTATAAGTCTGGATTGTTCAACTACAAGCTGTTTTTACTACAATCTGTACTACAGATTCTTTAAACTGTTTTTTCTAAACAAAAACCTGGAAATAGTAATCAACTAAAGTTCACAAAATGGAAATGTGTAAGAAAGTTATCAGTTTTTTTCCATTTATTTTTCTATTGGTTAAGTAAAAGAATTAATGAACTCTAATAATAATTCAAATCCCCTTCTTTTAGGCTGTGAAATTAACAACAATCTACAAGAAATGGTGGTTCCATCTATAATTCAAGAATGTAAGTCATACTTTGATAGAAGTAAATTTTTAAATTCCAAACAATGTAGCACAAACATTTTACATTTAAATAATTTTATTTATTGAAACCAAAGTTTGATGATCCACCCCTTTATTTTGTTTTCACAAAGCTAGATAATGAGATCATCAGACTTTGGCACTTTGATCAATAAAGACTTTGTTATAATCACGTAAACTAAGATTAATATTAATTTTAGCTATTAAAATGTTGTCAGAAACAGAAACCTACAAGAATACTTTGGATTATCTAAATATAAATGGTGGCATTATTTCTGTCTAATGTCCTGATTTTATGTTAACTAACAGCCACTTTTTAAAAATTTGCAAAGGAAAAGATAAATATAACTTAACTTGGCAAAATCTTTTATTTTTACAACCTACTGTAAATATAGTACTCTTGTAATGTAACCTATTGTAAAAATAGTACTGTTTTAAAAATATACTGATACAATATATTGAGTGATGCTTATTAAGTACCTAAAAAAGTTAAAAGATTATGTTGCAAAATTAAATTGAGCAAAAAATTTGGACTAAACAAAAGATTTTTAAACTCTATTTTCTATTTAATGATTTTTCGTGCTCTGTTACTCCAACTTCTATTGTATCCCTTTAGGAATTGGTTCAAAATCATCATTAGCAATTTGCAAATTAAAATCAGAAAATATAAAAACAGTAATTTGATTTGGATTGATTTCATTATTGTGGCTAGAAGTAGGGGTAAAACAAATATCAGAAGGTAACAAAGCAACAGCATCAGAAAAAGCATCATTAAAAGAGAAAATAGAACTTAAAAAATCCTTAAGTCCCATGAGATTAATTTTTTTTTTTTTTTAATTTGTTTTTTTCTAACGTCTTCACTTCCAACTAGGCTGCAGGCAACCACTTTTAGAGTTGGAAGTTACTGGAAGACAAAGTTTATATAGCAAGATAACAATTAAAAGACAACTTAAAAGATTGCAAATTATATGAATCAGGAAAACAAAATGAATGGAGCAAATTCCAAAGAACTAATGTTTGATGAAAAAAAATAGAAGATTAAGTATTTTTGGAGCACTTAGGAACAATAGAATACTATAATATTGTATACAAATACTAACTTTGCAATGGTTTGTATATAAGATTTCTATGAGAGGTCAGTATGAGATAATTTGAGATAATTTGAGAGGATGTAAAGTAGAAGACACAGTAACAGTGTTGCTATTCATCAATTTAGGAATATCAATAGCATTGCAAAGACATTGTAAAGACTTTGTCAGATACAACATATGAAGAAAGCTTATGGGTAAGTCCATCATGCCAGACTTTATCGAAAGCCTTTAGTATTCAAAGCAGTAGAATTTGCCTCACCACCTCTAATCAAATGTTATGTAGAATCTCTCTGTAACAACAGTTAGCAAGTCAGCTCTAAAACAAGATGATTGAAATCCATGTTTCTTATGTTATCTAAAAATTTAACCTTTAAGCTTTTCAGGATGATCATTAATTTTTAGGTAGAGTTTCTGCCATTATACCTGCCTATTGCTGTTGTAAGTAGTCCAAATTTCAGAAAGTTCATTTGCTGTAAGTTATTTTCATTAAAAATTAAATTTTAACTTTAGTGATTCTAAATAGTTCTGACAGATTTCAATACCCTTACACAGTAACTTACTGATCAGTCAGAAAATAAGCAAAAATTTTAAAATGTATTATTTGGATTCCATGATTCTTTTTATGCATATTTGCATGGTGTAATTATAATATAACCTCAATTTTTATTTTCCAAAACTAAGTAATTAGGTAAAAACCTAAATACTTGAAAAAACCTTAAGTCTGTAAAATAGATGATTCTGGTCAATCCTATTTGATTTAAAAAAAATCTAAAACATGTGTTGCTTAAGAAATATGTTGCGCATAAAATTATCAAAAATTTCAAGTCAAATGTAACAACGGTTTAAAAATATCAAATAAATAAAAAGTCAATATGCCAATTGGTTTGTGCAGCCCTTTTGCAGTAATTTACTGACCGGTCTGTGAATTATACAATAATTTCAAAATGATGTATTATTTGGATTCGAATGATTCCTTTATGCATGCATATTATAATTATACCATACATGGTGTAATTATAATATAACCCCAAATTTTATTTTCCAAAACTAAGTAAATAAATAAAAATCTTCAGTCTGTAAAATAGATGATTCTGGGCAATCCAAACTGAGAAAAATTTGTGGATATTTGTTTTAAATAGTTGTTAGATCACTATGGAATATTTAAAGTCAAATATAATAACGTTTCAAAAGTTATTCAAACATCAATATGACACCAAAACTAAGTAAATAAGTAAAAACCCTTAGTTTGTAAAATAGATGATTCTGGGCAATTCTGACAGATTTATAAAAAATAATTGTGGTATTTAATTTTCTTATAGTTGTTGGATCACTATGGAAAATTTCAAGTCAAATGTAATAACGGTTCAAAAGTTATTCGAAAGTCAATATGATCTAAAAATACTCTCTTTTTCGGTGCCATATCACTGTAAATTTTCCATACTTAAGCCCTATACCTTTTGTCAAGAAATCATCAATTTTTGCACTAGAAAAAATTCAATACCTTTGGATCCGCTTAACTTCAAAGACCGAATGACCCCTCGCTTTTTAAGCCAAGTCAAGCTCTATAAAACGATACATTTACATACAATTACATACGCTTATTTGAATTATAAAAAAATTATCTGGAAAGCTATGTATGTATGTATGCGTGTATGTATGTATGTATGCATAAATGTCTGTATGTGTGTATGTATGTGTGTATGAATGTATGTAAATAATACAATTTTATTTCATCCATTAGAAAACATAAATAAAACACTGTGATTTTATGGAATATACATACACACACACACACACACACACACACACACACACACACACACACACACACACACACATATATATATACACACACACACACACACACACACACACACACACACACACACACACACACACACACACACACACACACACACATATATATATAATGATTATACACAATATATAATATACAATGATTATATATATATATATATATATATATATATATATATATATATATATATATATATATATATATATATATATATATATATATATATATATATATATATATATATGTATATATATATATATATATATATATATATATATATATATATATATATATATATATATATATATATATATATATATATATATATATATATAATCATTGTAATCTCATATAATATGGTATAATTTTACCAAACGCACTTTAATTTATGTTTATATATTATGCGAACTATTTTTTATATTTTTCACTATAAAATTAAATCATTTAATTAGTAAAGATATCTTAATTCGTTCATCGATTGCAAATGTCAAAAATTTTTTGGTCTGACTTAGCAAAAAAAAAATTATATATATACATATAAATAATTAGAGAAAGCGAAAGTAAACAATAAAGTCGTGATGCATTTCGGGTTGGTTTCTTAAATAACGTATGCACATACGTAGAAAGATTAAATGAACGACTGACGTAAGTAATAGAGATTAGTCCCAATATCTAAAAGAATAATTAGGTTTCAGTTCAAACATTAAGATTAATGTTTACCTTTTAAGGTATATAGAAAGGAGCAAATCTAAATATTTTCATTTAAAAAAATGATGTAAGATAAGTGTTCAAGATAAGTTAAAATAGGTGCCTTTTGAATAAAAAACATCAAAGAGTCGCCTAAAATAAATAAAATATAACTTTTTCGTTTTTTTCCTAATAAATTTTTTTTAATTGCTTTTTCTGGTATTTAATAGAATTAGTTAATATTTTACGTGTAATTTTCAGAAGACTGTCTTAATAGAAAACAATTTCCCTGGTGTTCCGATAGAATTGCTCGTACAGAAGTATGGACAAAGTTCTACCAATTCATAAAAATATTTTTTTATAAGATAAACATATTTTTTAAGCAACACATGCTTTAGATTTTCAAGCATAGATTTTCAAGTACTAGCAACTTCTATGAAATAGCAAATGAGTTTTTCCTAAGGTATCCTTCTCTAAAACCTCATCACTGCAATGGTTCTGTGAGTATTTAACTGTATAAATAAAACTAATAATATCAATGGTGTTACAAAATTATATAGCTTTATATAGCTTTTTCATTTACACTTTGTCATGAACTTGTTGTTGAAGACAAAATTTAAGCAAGTTAGACGCCCTTATTTAAGTTAGATAAATAGATAATTCGGGATAAGTTAGATGCCCTCTTCTAATTGATGAGCAAGTTACACAGTTTAAGATAAAGTACTCTAGTACTAAATACCAGTGTACTAAAGTAAAGTACTAATTAATTCTGGTCATAAGCAGAACTCTGACTTGCTGAATGAGTCTACTAATCTATGCTCAGCAAAACATCATTGCTATCATTTAAGTGATAAAGTAAGCACGATTTCACAGTGTTTATAATACATGTTTGTGTGAGAAAATGCATAGTGTTTTTAGATTTGATTGTATAAATCTGTAAAAAAAAACTAGTTACATATTTTCGTTATTATATTATAGAATGTGGGTGATGGTATTTTAATTATTATATTATAGAATGTAGATAATGATATAACCTATGATGTTAAAAAAAGGCACGGCTAATGAGTGTCAGAAACTGCGTCCAGATAATGAGTTTTTGGCTCGCCAGAATGTCTTGTCAATTGAGGCATTAAAATATACATGCCAAAATGAAAGAAATTTAGATGTCCTTAATAAATTCCCAGCACTTTACTATGAAGAGGTTGTAAGTGGTTAATGTGGTATTATATCTGAAGAGTCCAGGGGAAAAAACGGCATAGTCACATTTAAAAAGTTTTGAGAAAGTATATATTGATCATTTAGATAAGTCTTCATAAAAAACAAAGAAACATAAAAATTAGGAAAAAATAGGCATAGCGCCTATGATGGCATACCGGTCATATTTTCATAAATATTGGTTATGGCGAAAAAAATGATTAGACCCACATGTTTGTACTGACTTTACATTAGTTTTAGTAAAAATATGTACAAAAATTGCTTTTATAATCAAGAAAAATCGAAATTTGGGATGTGCTGTTGTATTTTTAATCCCTTTAAATATTTAATATTATGACTTTAATATTAACTGTGCAGAAATAAAGTTTTCATGCATTTTATTTCCAAGTTATGTGCATTTAGTGGAATACTTACTTTAATTTTATCTTTTAAACAAGGCAGACACAGCTTGTTTAAATGAAAATGAAGGCTTCTTCTTATGATGGCATGTTGACGAGTTAGGCGTGTTACAATATCGAGGAGTGGAGAAAACCTTTCTTTTTTATAAAAACAACATACTTGTTTTTAAAGTAAAAAGGAATTTTTTATTTACTAAAAAAATTTATGGTTCAAAAAACACATAAAACGCAATATCTCTTATACGCATGCGCAATATTTGACACTGCTGCTGTGTAGCACAAATGATTTAATTATAATGATTACGCGTAGTTTCTGGCATTTCTAAGGGAAGACTCTTAGGTCAAATGAAATTGTCAAGTTACCCTTGATGCTAACCAACCCCATCCTCCCTATGCCATCATCGGAGTAGTAGTTGCCTATGATAGCATACTTGTGCTTTTCTTTTAAATAAAAATAACTAATAAAAAAATAAAACTGATGAAAACTCCAAAGGTTATTATTGTTCTACATGTAACAAAGAATGCATCCATATCAAAACTTTTGTTCTTGGCCTTCAGGATACTAAATAATAAAGCTTCAAAGTTAAGTATGCCATCATAGGCACCTTTCCCCTATATATATATATATATATATATATATATATATATATATATATATATATATATATATATATATATATATATATATATATATATATATATATATATATATATATATATATATATATATATATATATATATATATATATATATATATATATATATATATATATATATTATTAAATATATAATAATAAAGTTAACTATTGTAAATTTTAAAATTTGTTAATATTATGCTTCTCTTTATTAGGATCCAATCAACCCCAGCTCTGAAAATTGAAGGAGGTGCTATAAATCTTGTAATTGATGGGGTGACACTAAGCAATTCTGTTCTTGATGTAACTTGTGCTTTGGGTCTTGTCATCTGTTTCGTTTTGTCATCTGTTCATAGCGTATTGATAGCGTATCCAAAGAAACTTCAAAAAAATTCTTTTCTAGAACATTAAGTTTTCGAGCAAAACAGTAAACTTCCTGGCAACAACTTTCTGGCAACATTTAAAACATTGCTAGTTTTTTGAACTTGTAATATTAAATTACAAAACTCAATAATATACTAATGCTATTATTTTTTTTTAAAACTTTTTTTAAAATAAAGTTTCTTGTTTTGAACTTTCTACTTTAAGTTGTTTTTATAGAGAATTTTTTTTTTAACTGATATTGTAGTATAATATTATATTCCATATTACATAAATCCTACTATATAGAATACTATATATAGTACTATATAGAATACTATATATGATATTCTATATAGAATACTATATATAATACTATATATTTATATAATTTATATAAAAACATATGGTAATAAATTAATGAACTTTAGTTTTTGCATTTAATTATTTTTATTCTACAAAACATAACTCATAACGCTAAGTTTAGTAAAATAATCATAAATGCATTAAAAAAAAACGTTTTATTTTAAGCATTATGACTTATAAATATCACTTTAATCGTTATTGCTGGAAAACCAACTTTTGGTTTTACAGCTTGTCCCAATAAACAAACCAAGTTTGATTATCCAGAAAACCAAATAACGTCGGTTTTATAGAAAACCAACTTAATTTGATTATCTGGATATTCAAATTGGTTTTCTAGAAATCCAAACTATTTTGGTTTTATGAAAAACCAAAATAAATTGATTTTCTAGATATTCAAGTTTGGTTCTTTTATTGGGACAAGCCGTAAAACCAAGTTTGGTTTTTTGAAAAACCAAATTTCGTAAGAGTGAATACAAAGCTTGAGTGTCGTCAGCAAAAAGATTGAAGTTTAGTATACTAGATAATAAGTAAATATCGTTGATATAAATAGTAAACAATAAAAGCCCTAGAATAGATTGCTGTGAAACTCCGCAGGTAATGTTTTTTAGTTTAGTGTAGGTTTTGTTATAAGAAACATTGTTTGCAATTGCTAAGATAGGAAGAAAACCATTTAAAATTATTATTTTTGACTCCATAACTTTTAAGTTTGTAAAGAAGAATATCATGGTCCACAGTATCAAAGGCTTTTGAGAGGTCAATAAACACTCAAAGAGTATATTGGTTGTTTTCAAACTCATTTAATATTTCTTTAACTAATTTAATTACTGCATGTTCTGTCGAGTACCCTTTTCTAAATCCGTACTGATTATTATTTAGAATTTTATAAGTTGTGACATAGTTGTAAAGCCTATTATGCGTTATTTGCTCTAGAATTTTAGAAAAACATGGGAGTATTGAAATAGGTCTGTAATTAGATAACTTTGAGATATCACCATCTTTAAATATTGGAACTACTCTAGCTAGTTTCAAAAAGTCAGGAAAAAACTCCATTTTTAAGTGAAAGATTAAAAATAATAAGTAAGGGGTATTCAATAATATCAAAAACTTCTTTAACGACCCTAGTGCTTATACCATCGAGACTTGCGTTTTTGTTTGGTTTTATCATA